TTTTTTTTTTTTTGGTGGAACCGGAGATTGAACTCAGGCCCTTGTGCTTGCCAGGGAAGTGCTTATTCCACTGAGCCATCTCCCCAGCCCCACTAAGAGAATTTTTAAAATACTGTAAAACAAATGACAATGAAACTCCTATGTATCAGCATTGCAGGACTCAGTTTTAAACCTCATTTTGAAATAAAATTTAAATAAAAAGGTAACAATGAAAAATTAATAATCTAAGCATTTACTTCAAAAAAGAAACATAAATCTATCTCAACCTAAATCTCATGAGAAAATGAGAGGAATGGTAAAGACACAACAGCAAACCAAAGCCAGGTTTGTTTTCTGAACATTAAACTGATCAACTAATTCCAGACTAATGGGGACAAAAGTATTCAAGGTAAAGCTCAAAAAGGGGACAGCTCTACAGATTCAACAAATGATACAGCTCTCCTGAGACAATTAAAACTAGAAACCTTCTCAACATGATAAAAATTATATATAAAAAACTCACAGTTAACATGACATTCAACTGAAAGTTTTTCCTCTAAGAAGGAAGACTAGAATGCCCACCTTTGCCACTTCTATTCAACAAAGTAACAGATAATCTAGACAAGAAGGAGAGAGGGAGGGAGGGAGATAAGGTGGGAAGGAAAATGAAGGGACCTGAACTGAAAAAGAAGAGCTAAAACTGTATTTACAAATTACATCAGTATGTATGTAGAAAACTCGAAAGCATATGTACACAGAAAAACCATTAGAGATAATAAAGTCCACCAAGTTGCTAGTAGATACACATAAAAAAAAAATTCTATACACTAGCAATAAATATACCAAAAAGGGAAAAATATTCCATTAAAATAGCAGACAAACACTCAGAAGTAACATTCACTGAGAAAATGCAAGGAGGGCAAGGCAAGAGGTATGAGGAGGGTGAAAACGCCAGGTGTGTATCATGCACATGGACAAGTCTGCCAAAATGAAAACCATCAATCTGTATAACCAACATGCATGAATTTTGAAAGTGGAAAAAAAAACAAGGAGTAGAACTGCACACTGAGAATCACAATGTATTACTGAAAGAAATTACATATCCTGTATCACCAAAAGCATAAAAAAGACGCAAGTGGAAAGACATTCCTACCACAGAGACTGGAAGGCTTAACGTCCACATGATGGTACTGCCCAAATTACTACAGAGATTCAGTGCAATTCCTATGAAAATCCTGATGGTTTTTTCTAATACAGGTGAAAAAATTCCTATCCAAATTCATACAGAATTTCTTTCTTTCTTTTTTTCTTTCTTTTTTTTTTTTTTTTTTTTTCAGTACAAGGGACTGAATTCAGGACCCTGCACTTGCCAGGCAAGCACTTATTCTACTGAGCTGTCTCCCTGGCCCTCATATGGAATTTCAAGGGACAATAAATGGCCAAAACAATCTTGAAAGAGAAGATGCAAAAGGACTCACTCCCCAATTTCTAAATTTACTACAAAGCTATCACAGCCACCTATCACAATGGTGTGGAACAGACAAATAAACCAACTCAGAATGAACTCTCACATTTAAGGCCAACTGACTCTCAACAAGGGACTAGCTCAATAAGGCCTTTCAGTGGTGTGCGGTGAACACTTGACATGCACACGCCAAAAAAAGTCAGATGCCTAGGTTACACCATATTTTAAAATTAACACAAAATAAATCAAAGAACCCAATTTAAGAACTAAAACTACAAAATTCTTAGAAACACAGTCTAATCTTTATGACCACTGCCAAACTGACAACAAAAACAAGACACCAAATGTACAAATAATAAAAGGAGAAAAGCTAGACTTCATTAGACTTTAGAACTTTTGTGTGCCATAGGACCCTGTCCAAAGTAAAATGATGTGGAACTGAACAAAAAAAGGGGATGCAGATGAATGTCCATTTTGTATCTGTGTATTCAAAGTGGTTAGGATAGATATATTGTTACATTCTCTTAATGAATAGAGGGATTTGTTCTAATGGTGCTTGTAAATAGGATATCAAGTCCGCATCTTGTACAGCAATTAACCACTAGGAAGAAAGTATGCAATGTGTTAATTATTGAACCTGTCCTACCAATTTGGTTTGAAACTGTCTCATCGCTATTTGTTTCTCAATAAAATTATGGGGGAAAAAAAAGTAAAATGATGACCCACAGAAAGAGATAAAATAAGGTTATAATATCCATAATGTACAGAAACCACCTACAAGTCAACATCAGATACTTTTAAATAGGCAAACAACTTGAAAACCTATTCCCCTCCCCAAAAGAAGGTATACACATGGCAAAAAAAAATAAAGATGCTCAACATAGTTTATTATTAGGACAGTCACATCAAAATCACAAGATGCTACTTTTCACCACTGCAGGCTGGCCACACTCAAAACCTATAAAATTGCAGGTACTGTTGAGGAGGGTGAGAAACTGGAAGCTTTTTGCATTGCTGGTGGAAATACAAAATTGTACAGTCACTAGTGCAAATATTTTAGCAGTGGCTCCCAAAATTTGAGAACTGCCACAAGCCTCTGGCAAGCCACCAGAGGCACATACCCAGAGGTTTTGAAAACAAGGACTCACACAGATACCTGAACACTGAGGCATATAAGAACATATATAACAGCCGAAAGACGCAAGCAATCCAAATGTCCATTAACAGTTGAAAGGATAAACAAAACAAATACATCCCGTTAGTCCAACTCCTCTGCTAATTAAAACAAAACCCCAGTTACCAGTGGGCGGCACTGCTTCTTTTAACTGTTCTCACTCTGCAGTACTCTGCACATATTTACAACCCTAAAAGAACACATTGCATGGGCCTGACATATAGCTCAGCAACACGGTGTCTGCCTAGGAAGTCTGAGGTTCTGAGTTAAATTCCCAAGTACCAATACCAAATAAATGAGAAAAAATAAAATGTTTCTAAAAGAATACATTCCAGTCCACTGGTGTTCACAGTAATTATTTCACTAGTCACAATTGACAGATAACCATTCTGTCCTACCTGGTTCATTTATTCTGCCAAATGTATGCCTAGTGTTGTGCTTTTTGGTCTTGAAACATGTTTCACAAAAGTCAAAGTCATCACAGTTTCTGCATTTGAATCTGGATCCATTGATAGGAAACATTTGACAGCCATCACACCTATTTTTAAAAGTCATTGAGTTGATTAAAAAAAGAGAGAGATTATTTATTAAACTTAATTCAAAGAAAGCCCTTCTTCCCAAAACAAATGTAGCAATCATAAAAATTAGAACTTACGTAACACCAGGATGTACACTAGGCACCAACTCCATTTCTGACAACAACCCAGTCCAATGAGATTGCTGGGGAAAGTCAACAATGATGTCTTTTCCATTGGCACTGAATGCTAGGACAACAGAACAGAAACCACCAGAGACATCTTTACCACCAATAGAAAGCTACAATTAAAACGTACCGTTTTATATCAGAGTTTTTTTGTATTTTACAAACAGTACGTATCTTTTAGAAGCTGAAAGGTATGTGCTAAGTTACTTATGGATGAAATGAACTAGCTTCAAAATAATCAAAAGCAGACTGTGAATGAAGGAGCTTTGATGATAAGCTGACCACTGCTGAAGCTAAGTAACAGGCAAATGCAAGTTCATTATACTATATTCTCTACTTTAGAATATATTTCTCATTTTCTACCCAGAGGTTTATGATTACGCCATTTTTTTTTTCCCCTGAAACCGGGGACTGAACTCAGATCCTTGTGTTTGCCAGTCAAGCGCTTATCCTACTGAGCCATCTCCCCAGCCCCAATTACAACAAATTTTTAAAAAATTTCCATTTAGTACATTTGGTATGTTAGAAAATAAAAAACATTACTAATGTCTCTTATCCTTTAAGAAAAGCAAGATGCGACTCAAAATACTAAGAAACTGCATTCTTTTCAAAACCTGTCTCCGTTTTGATCTGTAAATCCTTTATTTATTTATTTGGGGGGGGGGGCCAGAACAGGGATTGAACTCAAGCCCTTGTGCTTGCCAGGGAAGCACTTATTCTACTAAGCCATCTTCCCAGCCCTGATCTGTAAGTCTTTTAAGAATCTCTTAAGCAAAGAAAAGTATTTTTTTAAAGTAAACTATCAAATTAGCCATTTGGGGACAGCCAGATAGCTCAGCCAATTAAAGCATCTACTTAGGCAGACACAGGGGCCGAGGGTTAAATCCCTGGCCTTTCGTGCTGGCCCGGCCCCCAGGTTGCACTGAGACAGACAACTGAGACTTGGCACGGTGGTGTGCACCTGTAATCCCAGCACTTTGGAGGCTGAAAAATAGGACAGATGACTACAAGTTCGATCTGTGTAGTAAGACCCTGTGGACCCTGTACTGAATACATTACAAAAAAACCAAAAGCAAAAACAAAAACAAAAAAACCCCACAGAATTTCTAACAATGCCCCCCATTTACATGAGAAGCACTACCACTGTGACATTAAAACTGTCTAGTGATAAAACAATAGGCATGTTTATTTCTGAAGCAACTGTTAACATAGAACCTATCTCTTAGAGTATGCCATGTTCTGGGAAAATTTCATACCATAATAAATATAAACATAAGAATAATATTTGTTTCCAGATTCTAAGGCCCATAGTTGGTACATTTCCATTTCTTAAACCTAGTCCTAAATTTTTATTCAGTATGAAAACCAAAAGCAGTCCCTAACAGCTGGAAGGTGGTCATTGCTTCCCTGAAGGTCAAATGATAGGGTAAGTTCACAGACCACCAACATCAGACAAGGCCATTTTGTGACCGATGGGTCAAGGCTAAAACAAAGCCCTCCTTAATCTTGTCTGATCAAAGTCAACTCTAAACCAAACAAATATAAATCACATTTCTCTATCCTGGCTAACATGAAAGACTACTTCTGTATCAATCTTAATTTTAAGATACTAAATCTTAAATATTACCTCTAGCTTTCTCAAGCTCTCTCCCAAACACCTTCCGTGAGCACTTGCTAACATCCTTTAAAGAGACACCCAATCCCTGGGTCTGTGTCTTCCCACACTCCAATGAACTAAAAAATCTGACTTCATTCAACTGCTGACATGCTGTATTGGTGGCCAAAAACACTTTCTTCACAGCTGAACTTCTTTTACTTTTAAATTATGGGAGCAGAGGAATTCTGAGTTAATAAAAAGCTAACATCTGGAACCGCTGATCCGTAGGTGATATTACCTTTCACAATTCCCACACTTTGATGAGTCACAGATCCCCACTTGTATTTTGGCGTGGTAACAGAGGCTTTGACCCGAACTTTATCACCAATTTTGATGTGAGAAGAAGAACTTGGTGGAGGATAGCCTAGAGATTTCAACAATAAATGTAACATAATTAGCATTCATTTCTGGGAATGCTGTCTCAAAGAAAAAAACACAAAAGCACTTACTATAGAAAGTGCTCACCTATAAGTTCCACGTGAATATACCTAACCCAGTAGGTGCCCCCTTTCTGCTGCCAATCACACTGCACATTGAGGTCATGCAATCCGTCTCTGTCCAATTTGATGACTTTGCCCACATCACCTTCACATACTTCTTCATATGTTCGACAGCATCTAACCATCATTCCCACCTAAAATTAAAATGAAAAGTCCAGTCCAATGTATTTAAGTAAGACGAATTATTTTAAGTAATCATAACCTCTACGATTCTGCTTAGCACCTGGAACGTATCTCAATTTTCTATGAGGGGGCCAGGGGTGTAAGTATTATTTACACTAAACAGAACCAGAGTCTGGACGGCTCCACACCTGGGACATCAAGTCCAAGAGATGAACCTATGCCATAAAGAGAGCTGTCGAAGATTACTGGGCTCACTCAAAAGCATGCTCTGTCAGAAAGACTCCCAGTGCTAGAAATGCACTGAGCCCTAAAGAAAATGTATTCCTCATCCTCATGATAATCATCTTCATACGCAATGAGCACCAGTGTATCGTTCTGGTAAATCCTCCTTGCAAAAACTAAAGCAAGCATTTATTCTGCCTTTCCTATAAAAACTACTATACAAAGTAACCAAAGCTGGCAAGAAAAGTCCCCCTAACCAAAAAGAACTTGAGCTAATAAATTTTAAAAGGATGACAAAGTTACAAATTACTGTCCTGCAGTGCCAACAATGGGGTCTAGGCAATGCACCAATGAGCATCTAGTGAGCTACAAGATTAACAGTTAATGGACAGCTTGCTCATGGAAGAAGCAGAGGGACAGGATCTCACCAGTCCCACACTGCATGCTGTCAACATGAGGCAGGACAGAGCACACTGCATCTAAAAAGCCCTCCTGCCTAAGGCTCAGCCTGAATCACTTTCCAACTCTTAAACATTAGAGACAAAGAAAGACATTAGCCAACACCACAAGGGAGCCACCAGAAAATCTAGAATACGATACATCTGAAGAATACGACATCTCGAATGGAATAGCGGGAAGACCTTGACGATGTCATAGCCTTAGACTGAAAAGAAACCATTGCCCTGTCGGCTCATCTGGGCACAGCCCATTTGTTACATCCTTTGTTCCAAAGGGAAAATGTTGACACCAGTGACTCGAAAGTGATTCTTCTCCCTTTGAAAGCATTCATTTTGCTAGAGCTATTAGAAACATTGCAGTATGCTGTATTGAAAGTAGGAATATAGTTTTTAAACCTTTTGAACAAACTGTGCATAACCAGTTATGAGATAAAACAACAAAATGCATGTTGCCTTTTTAATGTAAATACCCTTAGGTATCATTTAATAGTTTAAAAATATTGTGGTTTAGTAAAGTTGATACCTGGTTATAAATATGCCTTTATTTTTGGCTAGAAGAAGAATTATTTTTAGCCTAGATCTAACCATTTTCATACTCTTAACTGAGAAAGATTCAAAGAAATATCAAGTGCTATGCATTGAAACCTGTTTTTAAATGTTAAATGGCGCTATGTATATTATTGTAAAACAACGTTAATTTACTCAGATTTTCAGTTTTTACTGCCTGATATGTCTGTGTAAGAAGCCAAATTTTGTGTATTGTTACAATTTCAGGTTATTTATATTTGATGTTTTGTAAAACTGAAATTAACGAATATACTGTACTATGGACCAAATAAATGGCATCTGCATAATTGTCAAAAAAAAAAAAAAAAAAGAATACGACATTACCCATAACTCAACCCATGGACTTGGGAGGCTGACACAGGAGGATCACTGTGAGTCTGAGGCCAACCTGAGCCAAACAGCAAGTTGAAGCAGCCTGAACTACAAAATGATACCCTGTCTCAAAACAACCAATCAGTCAGTGGGACTAAAGGATGTCAAGTAGGGGTGTTATGAAATGAATGTTGTTTTCCTGAAAAGTCAAGTGTTGAAGCCCTATCCTTCCATGTAGCCATATTAGGAGATACGGCTGCTAAGGAACTAATTCAGGCTAAAAAGAATCAGAAGGGCGGGCTACTAAAAAAACAAAAGGATTAGTGTCCTTAAAACAACATATCAGAGTCACCTGCAGGCCCTACACCCTGCCCCACTCCATGTGTGGGTACAGTGAGAAGGCAGCCAGAAAGGAGTTCTTTGGCAGGGACCCTGGCCTCAGATTCTGCACCTCCAGAACTGTGACAAAGGAGTATGGTGGCTGAGGCCACTCTTACACGGTCACAGATTCCCACTTCTGATATAGCAGCCTGAGCTAGGACAAGAGAGAACTACTCTAGCTTAAAAGAGTTCTAAGACATACACAGCCAGGCTGGGCTAATATTTCAGTGGCACAAGTGCCTGACTGGCAAGTGCAAGATCCTGAGTTCAGTTCCCCATACCAGAGAGGGAGTAGGGAGAAAGGTAAGAGAGGGACAGAGGGAAGGAGGGAGGGAGGGAGAGAGGGAGGCAGGCAGGGAGGGAGGGAGAGAACCTAAAATACAGGGAGTATGATCTTGCTTATATTGGAATTACTAAACATAAAGAGCCGTTTTTCAACAAAATGAGGGAAACATGAGCAAGAACAGTGGCCATAAGATAATGTGAAGGAATTATTTTGTAAGGTAATGTTGGTTAAAGAGTAGTATCACTGTGTGAAAAATAAAATCCTTCATCAGGATACACTGATATATTTATTTGTAAAATGAGATACTTCTCAAGTTTGCTCAAATACGCTAAAATGAAAGAGTAAGAGTATGAAAAGGAAGCACTTAGGGTGGCTGAAGGAATACACAAAACATTACAAGTTAGCTGGCAATGAGAATCATATACGAGAAACAAGCAAATCTGCAATGTCACAATGGGGATAAGAGAAGAACACCACCTCTGTACCACTGCCACTGTGGACAGACCACCCTTGCTCTCCAGCTCTGGACCTCCTGTTCCCTGTCTAGCAATGTCTGCTAGCTGTGTGCCTAGCTCTCCCCCAGAGGAAGGACCTGAGCTACTGCTCACCACATGTTCCCTGACAGTGCACCGACTCTGCCCCATTACTCTATCCACTCCTTCGCCAGGCTATGGGGTTCCTCTGACTGGCTTCTGCCATAAGAAGGCAGGCTCTCTGAGGACAGAGCCTCTGTCCACTGAAGTCAGCATAGAGGAGAAGCTCATTATTCACTCAATGAAATAATGAGCCAGGCTCCAGCCTAGGACAATGACTCACCTGAATGTTCTCTCTGACATACACAGCATAATCATCATTACTCAAGAAATCAGCTCGCTTTTTATAAGTCTGGCTCTCCGTCACAACAGCACCCATAGACTACAAAATAAATACATTAAAAAAAGAAAATGAGAATGGCAAAACCTACTTTAAAGGAAAAAAAGTCTGTGAAATTTGTTAAGTATAAATACTATACATTCTCTATTAAAAAAATCATTTTAAAAATACTAAAACCAGTAACACAGCAGAAATGAAATGTCAGAAGCTGTTAAGTACAGGAAAATTTCAAGGCATTTCCAAATGAGTCCTACGAAACAATTTACTCTGGTAAGAAATCAACGTGTCATAAAACATGATTTTTTAATAAAATATTTCCCATGGCTAAACACAATTAGATGTTTAAACAACAGTCTGTTTTAAAGAAATCCCAATATAGAAAACCCAATACCAGACAACCTTGCTTTGTGCTCGCCAGAACGGCAGGGGACTCTTCTGGACAGTCCACAGGGGACACAGCTGGCGTTCTGAAGCAGCACAGAAAAGTGGCACACACAGAGTGCAGACCACCAGAGGCAGGGCGCATGCAGGTACTGACCAGGGAACAGGCCACGTCCTCCAGGCTCTCCACCACCTCTTCATCAGAATACTCATCAGACACTGTTTCTGCATCCGAGAGCTCTGTGATCTGGACATCGGAGTGGTCCAGCAGCCATCCTACCAAGGCCTCCACACCTAGACACAAACACACATGGGCCACCATGAAGACCAACAGTGCTAAAATGGGAACCCACAAGCAAACAAGCACCAGAAAGGAAAATGCAATACCAGGCAAGCTAGACGCATTCCCAGAAGCACCAGTGAGCGACTTCAGAGCAAACTCAATGTTCCTGCGAGGAAAGCCCATTTCCATGAGCTGTACCACAACTGGCAGAGCAGGGACTGGCGACTGCTTGCGCCTCTTCACCCTGGCAGGGCGGGTGTGCTGCACGGAGATCGGTGTTGTGGCCTCACTGGAGCTGCAGTCCTCGAAGCCTGGGCTCGAAGGATGAGTGGACTCCACAGCCAAGCACTGACACACGGCCAAAGCAGCAGCCTGGACAGACAAGAGTGGTATGGAGGCATGTACGAGTACCCTCACCTAATTTACACTCTAACAAACTGTGGAAGGCCCATGTCCACCAAAAGCTGCAGTACAGAAGTACAAGAAGCACAGATTTTTTCTTCTCGGTATTTAGGACAGCGTCTATAGTGTGTACAGGGTCTCACTATATAGATCAGACTTGTAGTGATTCTGCTTTCAGCTTCCCAAGTGCTGGAATTACAAGTGCATGCTACCATGCCCAGTCGCAATTGCTGTCTCATCGTGCCCTGAGGGCGGGGCCAGCATGGTACAGTGGGATCCAACCCCCAGTCCCTGCGCTCTGCCTAAGCAGGTGCTTTAGCCCGCTGAGCTATCAGGCCAGTCCTACAGGGGTATATTTTAAATAAACTGATAAAACATCAATACAAAGTTTCTTAGTTTAATACAGGGGGGCCGGGGAGATGGCTCAGTGGAATAAGCGCTTCCCTGG